GGATGTAATTGAAGCGGAAGGAATGATGACAAAAAGACACACAATACACCGCCTTATCATTAACGTAGCGTAACTGCTGATAAACTAGTTTCGAATTTTTGAGATTTACAAATTAAATGTTATTATGCAATTGGAATTGAACATCTAAATCCTTATGTAAAAACCATAGTTCATTACGAAGGGGCTAATCATTTGGATCCTACAACAAAAGGATAGGCGGACAATCTTAACCGTCTTAATAATTGTATCGATTTGAACACATCAGATCTTAAACCATTTTTCCCAGAAAATGTTCCAGCAAAAGCTGATCAGACAATATATCTTAATGTCTCTTTCGAAACAGATACTTCTAATGTTGACAGAGGAGTAGTTAATGGTAGCACATACGTAGTTGATGTAAACAATCCAACTATAAATCAAATCCTGTTTAAAAACCAAACTTTATTTCAACCAAATCAAAATGTTATTGGTCAATTTAATACTTCCCAAATTATTGATATTGTGGTATATAGTGAGTATCAAAATTTCTAATGGATGTAATGTATTGGAATTTTGAAATTATCTGCTTCTTATATTTGTTTGTCATCCTTTAGATGGTGTTACTGGAGAACATCCATTTCATTTGGTAAGCATATTAGGCATTATTGTATATAATAACCAGCTCCAGTAAAAAGAGATAATAAGGGATTATAAAAAAATGTATTAGAATACTTTCAGCTATGTGAGTTATACTAATAGGAAGTTGAATCAATGTGCCTAATGTCATATGAAGAAGCAAAAGAATGGGTATTGGAATTAGAAGAAGAAATCAATGCTAAAGGAAAAGAAATTGATGGATTAAATATTGGAATAGAAAAACTAATATCAAAAGAAAAAAATATATCTGAAGTTGAAATTGGAAGAGATAATAAAATATTTGTTTGTTATCAACAACTAGCCAAGCTGGAAAGTACAATAGATGATTTTGATTAATGTTATTAAAATAAAAGTGAAGTTAATGATAATAATGGTTTGGATAGAGGCTATATTGCAATAAATGATATAATAAATATATATTCTAGTAAGGCCAGACTAACTTGATTTTTCATTTAACATAATACAAAATAACTGTAAGAAGGGGGTGAAACATTGGAAAAATACGCAAAAATATCAATACTGCAATTTTATTGGTTGATTTTATATTAGTTATATAAAATTTAAAAAATTGAGGTGGGCAAATACTATTAATTACTATTAATGTGTATTGGGTTCTTATAAATTTTAAAAAATAGGCGGGGGGAGTTATGTTAAACAAAGAATCAAATTGGTCTGGCCTTATTAAAAAAAAACAGGAATAGGTATTAAATAAAAAATAGTATAATATACTAGATATTGTTGAAAATAGTATTATCAAATTAGATAATAGAAAGTTGAATAATTTGAAAGCTAAAGTTGATCAATTATTGTTGGCTTTAGAAAATAATAGGAGTTGTAGATATAATATAAAAGATAAAAATAAAACTACAAAAACAAATTATTCTAATAAAAGGTGTAAATCTAAACACTGTTGCTAAAATAGAGTTGTTTATTATTATATTTGAATTTATTTTATATAAGAGGCATGTATATATAATATAATATATATATATGCTAATAATATTTAAATTTATTTTTATAAAAACATGTATACATGTAATATAATATATATAGAGTATTCGCACCATGATTTTTGCTACTTACATGATGCAGATCACCTCAATTATATCACATTCTATTTAACCCCCTCTCAAATTTCTCTGCTGGCATGCAGCAGATCACTTCCAATCAAGTTTATGATTTGTGGTAGGCATCTTATTTATTGGTTGCGATCTTTTTTGTGATCTGCCACATTTCCTTTAAGACTAAAGCAGAAAGGATTTTCATCAAAAAATTTTATATTATTTTATATGTGCTATATGAGCTGTGCATGCCAATTATTTTGATAGCTTTGAGCATGCTTCCAAAAATTTTTTATCATATTTGGGTTGTATTTATAATGTTTTAAACATCACGTGAATAAATACTTTTGGCATTTGCTTATGCAAGAAAATTCAATCT